TGTTAGAATGCTAACCTTGGAGTTGGTGATGGAACTAGCTTGTGTTTGCTCTGCTGTTGATTGATAATTAACTAACATATGTTATTGAACTGTAGTCTTTGCCTTGGTGTCTTTGGATCAATAGTTGAACACAAAATGACTTGTTTTTTTCCTGATGATGGTTAAAATTTGTCCTTTGAATGTGCTTATGTAGAGGAATTTGTTTCTCATTGAATGTACTTGTTTTTTGAATGAAAGGAGATGTGACTTTGCTAACATGCATTTTTATAAGACATTCATGGGCAGTTGTTTCTGTTTTCACTTGCTCCTTTATGGTTGATTACATATACACACACATATATATATATATATATATATATATATATATATATATATATGTATATTGATTTATTCTGAATATATTTTAGACTGACACCTTTTGATGTTCTTGAGAATTGCATATCTTTTACAAGCCATCAGACCTTTGAAAATAAGTAAATATTATTACAGTTTGTACAAGATGGGTAGTAAATAGAGCTTTCTGCCAAAGTCAAAAGCCTTCTCGAAACAGTCATTTGCCTTGATAACAAGATTCAGTGTTCATCAATGTCATTATTGCCTACAAGTTACTAGAAGATTCCTTTATAATGATATGTTGCTTTTCTTGCTGTAGCATCACTGTCGCAGATGTGGAGGCTTGTTTTGCAATAGTTGCACCCAACAGAGAATGGTTTTACGTGGGCAAGGTGATGCACCAGTCCGAATATGTGAGCCATGCAAAAGGATAGAGGAAGCAGCACGCTTTGAGTTCAGATATGGACACAGGAAGCAAACTGCTAAAGGTAAATGCTTTGGCTTACTAAATATTATATCTTTTTTCTAAAGTATGTTGCAGCATATTTTCATTTACATTCTTGTTCTTTCATTTTTTTCCAATGGGAGGACACCAGGAATTGGATTCCTCAAGGAATTAACAGTGAATTAGTCTATATTGAGGTGACAAAGGCAAGATTGAGGTGGCAGTGAGGATTTGTTTCCTGCTAATTATCTGCTAGGAGCATCACTTTCAGGGATTTTTGCTAAGTGAAAGTCTTATATTCATATCTGACATGCCTAATAGCTAAGTTTTTATGTCAACCATTCATTGAATATGAACATTCTGCCATATATTCAGGTTCAGTGAACCATTTGGATTATCCATTAGTTGCATGCAAACAATAACTTCAATAGGCGCTCGGGCGCTCACCTAGGCGCTCGGGCGAGGTGAGGTGAGGCCCGAGTGCCTCGCTTCAAAGAGGCGCCACCTAGGCACTCACCTGAGCCCAGGCGCTGGGCGCTTCGGGCGAGTTCCCGGGTTAAACCAAGCAACCGAACCAGTGTTTTACGTCTGGTTCGGTCTCCGATGCTTTAGTTGGTTCAGTGGAACCAACTAAAGCACCAATATCAGCCTCCTAACATCCCTCTCGTGACTTCCCCAATCCTAACCTTGCTCGTGATTCTACCGCTGGCATTTCCTCTCTACTGTTACTGCCTCTCTCTGCTGTCATTGCCTCTCTTCGTTGTCGTTGCTCTCCGCTGCCGCTGCCGCTGCCACTGTCACTACTTGCCATTGCTATCGTTGCTCGCCGCCGCTGTTGCCGTTGCCACTATCTTCGCTCCTGCTGCCGCTGCTCGCTGCTACCGCCGCTGCTTCTCTCAGTCAGCAGCCTCAGTGTTACTCTTACACTACGCCCCGCTACTGCTACTGCTATCGCTGCTCATTGATACCACTATCGCTGCCGCTGCCACTACCGCTGCTCGTCGCTACTGTCGTTGCTTGCCATTATCGTCGCTCCCGCTCTCGCTGTTGTTGCCGCTACTCATTGCTATTGTTACTCTTACTCCCTCTACTCACATCGACTCGATACTATACTGTTAACTGTATACTAGTAACAATATTTTTTTATTTATTAGATTAATAATATATTATTTTGATTTTAATACAAGTAATTTTTATTTATTTGAAATTATTGTTATTGTTTTGAATTTTGAGATTTTTTGTTAATGGGATATTGTGATTCTGTAAGATTTTTTTAATTTAATATCATATTTTTATTTAAATAATTAAATTTATTAATTATATTATATATTTTTATATTTTTAGCGTTTCGCTTCGCTCAGGCGAGCGCCTAGCACCTCAGGTATTTTTGGACTTTGGCGTTTTTTGGCGCCTAACGCTTTTTAAATCACTGCATGCAAATATAGCCTATTATTTAGATCCTACCTGCACTATTATAGTTTTAGTTTTTATCGTAAGTTTCTATGTTGATTGCTGTGTTTTGGGATTTTGATTCATCTATGAGGGTTGATATAAGACTTGTTAATTCAAAGCCTTATTTGAATTCTTTTATTTCAGTAACATCATGTAGCTGCTCGTTGATTTGCTACAATATTTCAGAATGCTTATTTTAAAGAGTTGTGCAGAATACACCACCCCAAATTGATGGGAAGTGTTCTAGACAATGATTATGATTAAGGGTGTAAGCTATCTGGACATGAATGAGATTAGGCATGTTCTTTTTCCAACAGGCCTGCTGTTCAAGCTTGGCTCATGTTCACCTTTGAGAGGGAATGGCTTGGCGAGCAACTGAGGAATGGGTAGAAGTTCGACACTGAGGATGCAATGCTCTGAGTATATGGTGGTGTCAAGGTGGGTGGTGATGGCAGAGGTGTTAATGTGAAGGTGGGTGGTGGCAGTGGAGGCACAAGGAAAGGGAGGTGCTGACAATGAGGATAAAGAAGCTAGGATGATCATGAAAAGCCAGTGTGTTATGGGTAACAGGCTTTGCCTCCAACATGGCCTTTGTGGAGGAGGAGATTTTGAGAGGATGAGCATTTTCACTGATGGAGGATGCCAGTTGGGAGATGATCGAGGAGAATGAGAAGAGATCTGAAGGGACAGTGCTGCAGTGTATTAAGCTTTCTATATCTAGCTATTATAAGCATATACATACTATTGGCATGATTAAAGTCGGCCATTAATGATAGTGTATAGTAGAGATCACATCTATGTCTTGTTAAATACATAATGGAGAGAACTTGAACTAAGCTAAAGTTTGGCCAGGTCCTTACTGAACCAAACAGGAGTGAACAGGCTAAAGTTTGGGTTTGGCTCAATATGCTGATGAACAATTCTTTAGCTGTTTGGGCTTGGCTTGGTGGGCTTGCGATTTAGCAGGCTTCAGCTGGACATCACACCAAGCCTGAGATCTTCAGGAACAAATCATTTTTACAGCCCTATGTACGTAATCTGCTTTCTGATAGAAAATATGCGAGTGCGTCATGCAAGGACTTCTGTTATGTGTTGAGGTGCTCCTTATGTGAATTTAATTCTTCAAAAGTTTTATATGCAAAGCTGCACATATTGCCTTCAAAGGAAAGAAAAGAGACATAAAAGGGAATTTGAAGAAATATCATTGTCATACATATTTTAATATTTAAAGATATTGGGAGACTTAAAAAAAAAAAAAGAACAAAATTCTGCTTCCATGGTTACATATATAGCTTATAGCCAAATCTATCTGAAATGTGTATCTGATCTATAAAATGCAAAGAGGTCATCTTAGAATTTGCTTGTATTCTTTTTTGCAGTTAATGCAAAACAGGCTTTGCAGGCTTTCAAGCATGAGGAAGAGGTTCTAAGTCAGATTCTTGGAACTGATGGAAAGCATACATCATTATCTGAACAAAATTCAAACAATCTTGTGAATCTTGATCTTAAGTTGGTACCAAGCAGTGCATCCTGCTCTAGTTCCAGGAGGGAAGGAGATAATATTAGAAGCGTGTCAGTTGATACACACAACAATCTTAAGGTGGATCTTATGTTAGGTGATCCAGAGGAATTGCGTCAACAAGCAGTTGAAGAGAAGAGAAAGTATAAAACTTTGAAGGCTGAAGGAAAATCTGAGGAAGCACTTCAGGCATTCAAGCGTGGTAAAGAACTTGAAAGGCAAGCTGGTGCTTTGGAAATTACACTACGAAAGAACCGGCGAATGGCTGCAAAGGCATCCAATTTTAGTACTGTTGCTAGCATCCAAAAAATCGAAGGTCATGAAGAGTTTGGTGGTAACCAGAAGTTATCCTCTCAAAGGGGTACAGAAGTCAAGGATGACCTTGCAGCAGAACTTCGAGAATTGGGATGGTCTGATGCAGATCTTCATGATGCTGATAAAAGACCAGCAAAGCTTAGTTTGGAGGGTGAATTGTCAAATCTTCTTGCACTAGTTTCTCAAAAATCCTCTCAAGGTATTAAAAAGGGTGGTGTTGATAAGTCAGAGGTCATTACTCTTAAGAAGAGGGCACTGTTTTTGAAAAGAGAAGGAAAACTTTCTGAAGCAAAGGAGGAGCTGAAGAGGGCTAAATTATTAGAAAAACAAATAGAAGAACAAGAGCTATTGGGTGAGGCTGAAGAATCGGATGATGAGCTGCGTTCTCTAATCAATAGTCTTGATGAAGACAAACAAGATAACCTAGCATTAGACCATGCATCCGACGCTGGATTCCAATTTGACAACCAGCTTGTTTTCTCAGATGATCTTCCTATTGATGGCAATTTTGAGGTGACTGATGGTGATATGAATGACCCAGATTTAGTGGCTGCTTTAAAATCATTTGGTTGGTCTGACGAGGATGAAGAACAACCAGCCAGTCAAAGCAATGAATATGCTCCTTTTGATAGGGAGGCACTGCGCAGACAAGTGCTTAGTCTGAAAAGGGAGGCACTCAGCCAAAAACGGGATGGTAATATTTCAGAGGCGATGGAGCTGCTGAAGAAGTCAAAATTACTGGAAAAGGACCTGGTGGGTATGCAATGTAGTTCTGAAATTGTTGCATCAGAATTTAAGAAGAAGAGTTCAAGCCCTCAAGTTGATGTGGCTGCAATGCAAACAGTTGAAGAGGAGAATGTTGCTGAAACAACAGGTTCTCATTTTAAGTCGCCACCAAAAAGTAAGCTAATGATTCAAAAAGAGCTATTGGCTTTGAAAAAGAGGGTGCTCACGTTTAGAAGGCAAGGTCGAATAGAAGACGCAGAAGAAGAATTGAAGAAAGGAAAGATTTTAGAACAACAACTGGAAGAGATGGAACGTGCTCCAAGAAACCATGGAGAAGACTTGAGGAAAGAAAAGGTTCTGGAACACCTGGAAAGTATGAAAAGTACTCCCAGAAAGCCTGTCGCTGAGGTGGCAAAGAAGAATTTGGACATCACACATGTGCATGAAGGTGGTGATACCAGGAGTTTGAATCTTGGGGAGGAAAGATATGAGACCGAGGTAACAGAGCAAGATATGCATGATCCTGCATTTTTGTCACTTTTGAAAAATATGGGGTGGAATGAGGATGATGATGTTGAATCTGTTGGCATGACAAATAGAGCATCTAAACAGATGAATGATCCATCTACGCATTATAATGCCCTTCCTTTGGCTCCTATGAAGGCAAAGAGAAGCAAGGCTGACATTCAGAAAGAATTATTAGCCATAAAAAGAAAAGCTCTGGCACTAAGACGCCAAGGAAGGACTGAGGAGGCTGAGGAAGAGCTGGAAAAAGCAAAAGCCCTGGAGACCCAAATGACAGAAATGGAAGTCTCTAGTAATGTCAGCTCTGTGGAGGTGGATTCACTTGCTTTTGAAACCTTGATTCCACAAAATCTCTCTGTTAAAGAGCATGCTTCTGGTGATGCACGAAACACTGCTGGAAGCCTAGCATCATTTGCGCTAAACAAAACACCAAAAGATGCAGCAGTCCCACTGCATGTTCCCGTGGGAAATTCCACTTTGCACCAGTCAAACCAGTCCCTGAACTTGGAATGTCTCTCTGGCAGTGAGGCTGAAGCTTTGCACTCATCAATGAGGGGATCAGTGAAAAGAGAGGGTACAGATGCCAACTTTTTCTCTATTACTAGTGCACCTGTTATGTTGGCTGTGGAGAGTACTTTGAAAGAGAAGACCAGCTCAAAAAGTGGTGAAATTGGTCACACAACTTCACATTTTCAGAGTCAGGAAACAGATGCCACTGAAACGAATAACATGGGAGCACAAGAACAGAAGGTGGCACTTGTGGCTGATGCTTTCAGGGATGAAATTTTAGCACGCAAGAGAAAGGCTGTTGCACTGAAGAGAGAAGGGAAACTTGCAGAAGCCCGAGAGGAACTGAGACAGGCAAAGCTCTTGGAGAAGAGTCTGGAAGATGGTCAACAAGCAGATGTGGTTACGCGAGGTTCTTTAACTCCTGACAGTACTGCTCTAAAGCAAGAGAACATACCTAGCCCATCTGAGAAACCAAAATCAGGCCGTGACCGCTTCAGAATTCAACAGGAGTCCTTGTCTCATAAACGTAATGCTCTCAAGTTGCGTAGAGAAGGAAAGATAGATGAATCAGAGGCTGAACTTGAATTAGCAAAGGCTTTAGAAAAACAATTGGAAGACTTTGATCAAGGTTCAAGCACTAACATGACCGGCAACAAATCCGAAGCGATGGATGATGTAGTTGTGGAGGATCTTCTTGATCCTCAACTTCTGTCTGCCCTTAAAGCTATTGGATTGGAGGATAGTGTTATTACCAGCCAACCATATCATGAAACAGATGCCCAGCCAAATTTTGACAGGAGTGGTAACCAACGCATGGAGAAAGCTGATCTGGAAGAACAAATCAAGGCTGAGAAGCACCGAGCACTCAATTTTAAACGGGCAGGTAAGCAGGCAGAAGCTTTAGAGGCTCTTCGCTCAGCCAAACGTCTCGAGAAGAAGCTTGCAACATTGACTTAGGAGCCCAAATTGAGATAATCAGTTCCTAGAAAACCACATGCACTTCTGGGATCTCACAGGTGCCTGAAAAATTATGTAGAATCATATCGAAGGTAAGCTTCCTTTTTAGACCAGATCAAGATGTTTAAGGTTTCTACAATGCTGCAAAGTTGTCCCGAGGCCTGGGATCTCTGCCTGGATAGATTTGACTGAAGCTTGGTTGATTATATTCCTTGAGTATCATGGTAGCTTTTCTTTCAGGTTTCAACTCACCTCAGTTCTCAAATACTACAAGATGCATGCAGAAATATTGGGGAGTTTCTCTCCAGTCTTCCACTGGTACAGAATTCGCTCTACATCGATGGAATTCTTTGATGTTTTTGAAGTTACTCCAATTTTGTGTACACTTGGTATCATTCTCTATTGGACATCAAATGTCCCTGTATCCATGAAGATGAACTCGTGAGGATGTCTCTCTCTTCCAGAAGCTTGTCATCTGGCAGGCACATATCTTAGTCTACTTGAATGCAATCAAGTGGATGTCTCTCTCTTCTTCTAAGTGCTTGTGGTGCTTGGAATGCTAAGTTTTGAGCCCCCGGACTCTGTATATAGTCTACAAGATGGTGGTTTACTGCCCAAGGAGGACAGCGCTCTTTGGTGCAACTCGCAACGACACTCAAAAGGGTGTTCGACGAGATGTCTAGTGTTCCTATTGCGATGCAAAGGACGGAGTCGAACATCAAGCAGCAGCAAAATGGCTGTCATCCTTTTTCTTCAAGAAATGGCAAATACGTTCTGCTTAGTTTGATCTCTTTGGGATTGATCTTGATATATGCTTTTATGACACTCCGGTGGGCTTGTCTCTGCAATGTAGACCTTCTTTTTATTGAGTGAGACTCCCTGTTCAGTGTCAAGTCCTTGAGGAACCTGACATTTTGGGATCACTAGAGCGAGAATGGATCGATGGATAGATACAATGTGATATCAGATATTAAAGCATTCTCTCACTGTTCTTCCCAGGAAGAGCTTCCAGATGGGGTCAGTCTTCGGACTTAGACTCTTTTGACATCGTTTCTTTCTTACGTGAATAAAGATGCATGTATTGGAATCAAGATGGAAGAAAAGGCGGCGATTGAGATGAGTAAGAGGAGGGCAACATGAGAGAACCTGTTGAGATCTGCTGGAACAGTGGAAAGAAGTGGACACTCCGAGATGGGAACAGCCTGCCGTGGAAGGAGCCGGGCACTCCCACCACGTAGTATGGCTCCTGCAGATTCCCCTTCTCCTCCTCAACCTTCCCCAGCTCGTACTCGCCCAGGGACCGGAAAACGTAATTGAAGTCGCTCCCTGGGAGGTCATACGAGAACAACTGGATTTCCGGTGGCTCCTGACGTCCCAAGTAATTTCTCTGCAGGCCGCCAATGACGTCGAGCACCTCGGAGACCACCACGACGACTGGACCACCATCTTCTCAGGGTACTGTAGCCACACTTCAGAATTGACGGTTTCAATTCTGATTGCATGAAAAAAGGATAGGAAACTATACCAATTTCAGGCTATTTTGATTCCAAACCGGAATCATAATTTTTTTATTAATATTTAATATTATTTTTTTAAGGTTTTGAATTGAATCGAAATTGATTATTTCAATTTCCGTTCTAATTCCAATTTTAGGGTGTGGTGGCGCGGTTGGAAGCGGCGCCACCAATGATTGCTTCGAGGGGATCGACCTCCTTGATCACTTTAACTTTTACGTTTGGATCTCAATTTTACTTCTCATCGATTTGATTCCTTATATGTACTTACTAACAAAGATTAAGTATACCACCTATCATATATATATATAT